CAGTAATGATATGTCCATACTGTTCTTTTTTATTAGTGGTTTGATAACTGCTCTTTTTAAAGACTGGGGGAATACACCTGATGAGAGAGGTGAGTTTACTATTTGAAACAGACTATTTGAAACAGATCAGATGTAATGACAGGCAGAACTTTCTTAAGGAAAGTTGTGTGGAGGATAGTAGGATATCAAGGCAGCAGGAGGTGAAGCTTAATTGATTTTTAATTTTTTCTAAGCTTTTATCGTTGACTAGTTTAAATTTAGTCATTTTCTCTGCATTTACTATATATATATATATATATATATATATATATATATATATATATACATATATATATATATATATATGTATTAGGGATGGGGCCAATCCGATCCAGTATCGGTATCGGCCTCCGATACAAGCATAATTTACGTATCGGATTTTTCTGATCCACGTGCCGATATTTCCGATCCATGATGCATGTCTGTGGTTGCGCTACACATTGGCTTCAAACTATGGAATGAATTTCCTGAACAGCAGCTTGTCTCATGAATCCAGAGTAATAAGACCCACCTCACATTCAGGAAATCCATTTCATAGTTTGCAGCCAGCCATAACGTGAGGACTGAGTTAGCAGTACTGTGGCTAACAGCTAACCAACTTTTCATCTAAACATGTCTGCTGTGTGGAAATATTTTACATTAGAAACACCACAAAACAAGACAGCAACGTGCAATGTCTGCAGAGCCATAGTGTCACATTAAACCGCGGTAAAGTTAGTTTTACATTGGACATTTGAGCTCCGTGGCTTCAGCGGGGCGCTACTCTCGCTGAATCCAAAAGAGGAGACTCGACCCCGCCCAGCCACGTCCAATCTGCCGCGCTCAGTCTGCCCATCTCTGAGGAGGGACAGACTGAGCGCGGCTGCCCCAAATCAGGCTGCCTGCTTCGGATTGAACAAGAAGAAAACGTCGCTGAAACCATGGAGCTCTAATGTTTACAGAGAAGTTGCTAAACTTCATAATTAATGACCAACTCCTATCAGTTGTAGAAAACAAAGGATTTCACAGTTTGATATTTGCATCCAAGATAAAGTTTACCCTCCAGGAGATATTTATCAGTACAACAGTAGACAATCATAAAAAAAAAACATGATTTGAAAAATATTTATATTAAAAACAAAAAACAGCAACATTATAAAGTGATGTAAAATACTAAAAACAGGAACATGTCTGTTGGTTTATGCCATGCTAGCAGGTGTTTGAAGCCATTTAACATTTAATTTAATTTAATTCATTTATTCATTCATTTAAAAGAAACAAAATAAAAAAAAAAATCAAAAAGAAAATATTGAATGAAAGTGCAGAAAGAAGAAAAAAAAATCTTATATCTGCCCTTTATTTAAAAAAAATATAAAATAACTAAACAATCACTTAAATTAATCACTTTAATATCCATTTTAAAGCTAGGAATAAAAAGAAACATGTTTTGTGTTAGCAGAATTTAATTCTAACTTTAAAACTTATCCAACATTAATAAAACTTACCTCAAATTGCCTTTTTGGACATGCATGCATATATTTGTACAAATTGTACTTGAGAGGAGATTATTACAGCCTCATGTAAAATCACTGATGATCATGATATCGGAACTGGATTGGTATCAGCCGATATTCAGATTTAGGTATCGGGATCGGATCGGAAGTAAAAAAAAAAAAGTGGATCGGTGCATCCCTA